TTAACCACTAGTATTTGTCTTATGCCGCTAATTGTATTTTGGACGTTCGTGATGTGCTGGTTGATACGTGCAGATTCGACAGGTGACAGGTCAACCAACGATAGAGCGTGATGCATGTATGCCAATTTTAAGAATTGTGTTTTTTATTATTAATGTAGATGCCATCTCCCAGAGGGCATGAGAATGCAGAAACATCATTATTTCCACACAGGAGGAATTTTTATTGCTAATGATTAGATTAGATGCTTTAAAGATTAAATGTCTTATTTATAGTAGATTATAAATCTTAGATATTTGTTAGTTCCATTGAGTGATATGTATCGGCGATATATATATATATATGTATATTGGAGCAGCAGATCATTATTTAAACATATGTTATTAAATATAACAGACAATGAATGTTTATTTTGGTGAAAAGACAAAAATTGTACAACAGTTGGATATTTTTTTATTAAGTTTGTCCTTGATCTAAGATTTTTAAGGACCAACTTAATAAAAAATATCCAAATGTTGGACAATTTTTGTCTTTATTTTCACCCGAAATTAAAGCAAACATACGAACATTAGAATGGCTCATGATGAGATATAATAGACATTCATTGGCTGTTATATTTAACAATATATGTTCAAATAATGCTCTGCTGCACCAATACATATATATATATATATATATATATATATATATATATATATATATATATATGTGTGTGTGTGTGTGTGTCCAAGCAAGTCTTGTTAAATTCAAACGACAAGATCTACCTGCATAATTATTTAATATTGTTTTTGAATAAGAAGTTCATGCAAATAAAATCGTCCATAAACTGTCAAGGTGTCGATGTAACTGAATATATCATGAATCAGCTGAATGACAAATGAACTTCATTGCTATTAATCCCACGCGCGCACACACACACACACACACACACACACACACACACACACACACACACATATATATATATATATATATATATATATATATATATATATATATAAAGTGAACATTAAAGTCAACACTCAGAGGCGACAGGCTGTTTTTTTCATGCTAGACGCAATCGCCAGGCCGCTTGTTGCCTCTGAGTGTTGACTTCAATGTTAACTTTTATGTTTATATTTACATACGCTCTATCTCTGATAATGAACACTTTATCCCATAAATATAGCAGACCTTAGAACTATATTTTTCACCCACATGCACACACACATGCACGCACACGCACATATATATATATATATATATATACACAATATTGCAACAATATATATATACAACAATATATATATATATATATGGCAACAATATATATATATATATATATATATATATATATATATATATATATATATATATACAACAATATATATATATATATTTTTTTTTTAAAGGGTCACAAACTCATATCCATTCAACTAAATATGTTAGCTCTATCACTGATATTGATGTTTTCCAGCGCGCGCGCGCACACACACACACACACACACACACACACACACACACACACATATATATATATATATATAAAAGTGAACATTGAAGTTAACACTCAGAGGTGACAGGCTGTTTCTTTTAAACAAAAAACTATTATTATAATATAAGCTCTACTTCTGTATGGAGCACTGTCTTCTTAAAAATAAAAACAAAAATACTAAGGAACTTCGGATTATGCACCCAACGTGTTCTTTTTCTATTTTCTGCATACCTGCGCAATTATATATATATATATATATATATACATATATATATATATATATATATATATATATATTATATGTGTGTGTGTGTGTGTGTGTGTGTATAACAATATTGCGGTAGTAATCAATTGGCTATATGCATACTTTCAGCTTATTTAAAAATTTAGCTTATATTCTATTATTTGAGTCTCTCTCTTTGTCCCTGTCTGTCTGTGTGTCTGGCTCTCTCTCTCTCTCTCTCTATATATATATATATATATATATATATATATATATATATATATATATATATGCAAAGAGTTGCTAACAAAAATCAATGACTGACCCACTTACCAAAATTTGGCTAAATGACCAAACATCGGAATTTAATTTTAATTCCTTCTTTGGCCAGGCCGAGAACTTCTCAAAACTCCTCAACATATAGATGGAGACGTAACCTTTTCATTTCACACCAATACAGGCGATAATAAGTTGCACCAAGTTGCAAGTGGTTATTGGGAATAGATAAAGAGAATGAGAAGTCTTTAAACAGGAAACAAGGAATAAACCTCTGTTCCTCATAATATATTATGTTTTACTTCGAAGCTGGATGTTGGCAGTATGGCAGAAGATATTGAACATTTGCGGCAATACCACAAAATTCTTTTTTGCGTTTGTTACAGATATTAAATAATGAACCCGTCGACATTCATCGACTCTAGCTGGGATCTGTTCCAGTTGTGTTGTCGAACTCTCTGCCTTCGGGCAGAGAGGAACCCGGACGAGGCTGTGCCGAACGGCAGAGTCTCGTCCAGGGAGGTAGACAAACCTAAACCCGTTTATGCGGGTTCAACGGAGAATTTTTAGCCGAGCCCACGGGCTCGGGTGACCCACGTTAAATTCTGTCTTGTGCTACATCTACCCTCGTAGGGCTGGGCTAGTAAATATTGACGCTTGCTGAACGTTCATGGCGACCAGACGGTAGATACGCTTCAGCAGGGTGGGGACAGTGATGTGTGGGGAAAAATTCTTTTTTCTGGGCGACCCCTGCAATGTTGCCAGATCACAGAATGAAGAACTATCGTTGGGGAAAATGCATAGCCAATAGTGGTGACCATGTGGAAAAATACTATTTTTTAATGAAACATCTTCTTATCACTTACGGGGTTATTTAGTTTATTGTATCTGTTGTAGTTTCCATAGAAATAAATTGAAGTCATGGCTTACACGAAGCGCCTCTGTATATATATATATATATATATATATATATATAAACCTAATGAGCCAGAACCTACCTACCTAGATTTTACCTAACGGATAATCAAGATAACACCGCCCAAGCATAAGTTTTAAAATAATATATATATATATATATATATATATATATATATATATATTATATTAATATTTTTTCGATTTTAAATATTGATCTGGGCCGAAATTCAAAACGTAAAACAAAGCAATTTCTAAGGAAAGGAATAGATTTATAATTTATTAATTCGTGAGATTTTTATTATTTTATCGTTATTTTTAGCGGAGATTAGTACAGTGTAACCCGGATATAAGAGAGTTGTCGGGACCGGAGAAGAAGTCTCTTATATCCGGGTTTCTCTTATATCCGGGTTTGGTCTATTTTATATACATTAACACAGGCTCTAATTTGGGAGCAGAGAAAATCTCTCTTATATCCGGGTTTCTCTTATATCCAGGTTTGGTCTATTTTATATACATTAACACAGGATCTAATTTGGGAGCAGAGAAAAATATCCGGGTTTCTCTTATATCCGGTTTGGTCTATTTTATATACATTAACACAGGCTCTAATTTGGGACCAGAGAAAATTCTCTTATATCTGGGTTTCTCTTATATCCAGGTTTGGTCTATTTTATATACATTAACACAGGCTCTAATTTGGGAGCAGAGAAAATCTCTTTATATCCGGGTTTCTCTTATATCCGGGTTTGGTCTATTTTATATACATTAACACAGGCTCTAATTTGGGAGCAGAGAAAATCTCTCTTATATCCGGGTTTCTCTTATATCCAGGTTTGGTCTATTATATATACATTAACACAGGCTCTAATTTGGGAGCAGAGAAAATCTCTCTTATATCCGGGTTTCTCTTATATCCGGGTTACACTGTATTTCAGTTTTCATTTGTAACCCCTTACATCTTAAAACTACGACTAGAATTAATATTTATGATGGTTATTGTAGCATTTTATGAAAGTTGTTAAGCTCAAATGCGTTTATCGTTATTTTGGCGGATACTCGTATGTGAGTTGACGTCCTGTTCATTTTTGAAAACAGTATATTTATTTTTTTTGCATCTACCGACCAATCTTATATGAGAAATCTTATCCGCTCGAATATTCAGTCCGGTAGACGAAAATAAATAAATATACTGTTTAATAAATAAACGGAGCGTCTACCCAAATACGGGTATCCATTAAAAATAATTTAATAAAAATCCGTCGGATTAATAAAAAAAAAAAAAATCCATTCCTTTCTTTAGATATTGCTTTGTTTACGTTAGGATACGAAACTGATCAGATGTGTCTATTTCGAGAGTCAGAGAAAAACCTGTGTTTAAAGGCACTATTCTGACTTTGCTTGGTCATTGACGCACTCCGAAGACGAGAGGTCAAAGCACGTCATATATATATATATATATATATATATATATATATATATATATATATATTTCATTAAATAATATAGACAAGTGTAAATTATTTTCATAACGTTTGATAAGCTTAATAACATTATCATTAAACGAAGAAAGAAAATCACAATATTGATACATATTTATTTAATCCAATCTAAGCTTTCGGTTTACATAAGCCATTATCAAAGATGGCAATTACTGTACAATATATCAAGCAATATACGGGCAAGACAGTGATGATAGTCTGTTATTGCTTACATGGATGATTTCCAAGCAACGATAAACACGTGCATATAAGACGCTGGAAGCGAAATATATATCTGTATATCTTGAGAAAAAAGAGTGAACGAGGATATATGTCTATGATAGAAAGCGTATATGATATTAATTGTATAAACTGAAACGGAAAGGGAAAGAAAGTTCATTGTTTCCTGGCGTTGTATTTTTTTTAATGAATTTGTTTCACGTTTGGTTTGATCCAAAGTCAATGGCGAATAGAACAGCAAATCAAAAGAATGAAAAATTAATTTTTGAATAATAAATGCGAGCACATTAACACTCGAGTTGAAATGAAAGCTTTATGACCTGCTCAGCATATTTATCTCGGTTTGTTCCTATCTATCTATCTATCTATCTATCTATCTATCTATCCTTGGTTTACGGCCATATTATGTTAAAACACCGGTTCTCGTACGATCACTGAAGTTAAGCAACGTCGAGCCTGATCAGTATGTAGATGGGTGACTGCGTGGAAATTCCATGTGCTGTAAACTTGGTTGCTGGTGATGTATTGGAGAATGGCTGGGAATTAGAAATCGGAGAACCAAGTTTCAATTCCTACCGGGTTCGTCATATTACGCGCAAATACTCTTGGGAAAGATATGAATCCATGGCTTCTCCGCCCAGCTATAGATTAAATAGTACGGCTTGCAGTAGAAAATCTTTTTTATCACCGAAAAGTTTTACAATCCAAAAATATTTTCTTCCTTCAAACCGTAAAAAAATCACCAAAACAAATCAATCAATCAACTTTCTTCCTCGATATATATATCTTGGTCTTTTCCTTACTTCCTACCTATCTATCTATCTATCTATCTATCTATCTATCTATCTATCTCAGATTAAACACTATCTATCTATATATGTCAGATTAAACATTATCTATCTATCTATCTATCTATCTATCTATCTATCTAAGATTAAACATTATCTATGTCAGATTAAACATTATCTATCTATCTATCTATCTATCTCAGATTAAACATTATCTATCTATCTATCTATCTATCTATCTCAGATTAAACATTATCTATGTCAGATTAAACATTATCTATCTATCTATATCAGATTAAACATTATCTATCTATCTCAGATTAATAATTATCTATCTATCTATTTCAGATTAAACATTATCTATGTCAGATTAAACATTATCTATCTATCTATCTATCTCAGATTAATCATTATCTATCTCAGATTAATCATTATCTATCTATCTCAGATTAATCATTATCTATCTATCTCATATTCAAAATTATCAATATATCTATCTATCTATATAAGATTAAACATTATCTATCTCTCTCAGATTAAACATTATCTATCTATCTATCTATCTCTCTATCTATCTATCTATCTATCTATCTATTATGCATTTAATCATTGTTCTAATAAACTGAAGATATATCTATGTCCGTTTTTCTATTTGTTTATTTTTTTGTTATATTATAATACTTCGCGCTCTGTTAATAATCATCTCGGTCTCTGCCTGTCTTCCGTTCTTAGCTTGTTACTTTATTTCTTGGGTCTGTTTCTATCTATGTTTATATATTGGTCTCTCTTTTTTAAAGTTTCTGTTTCTATCTATCTATCTATCTATCTATCTATCTATCTATCTATCTATCTATCTATCTATTTGATTTTATGCAATATTAACAGGGACCAGGAAAGATAATAGACGGTCGGAAAACGTCAAAAATCTTTATTAGGTTGCAACGAAAACGGATGACAATGGAAACCTTCCGTTTTGAACAGGAAAATACGTAAGTGACAAAATCCAGGAATTTTCTTTGGCATAAATGAAATCGTAATAACAAATCGAGATCTGTTTAACTGAAGAAAAAAAAACACCGGCTAGGAACTTTTTCCTCATAAATTCATTTATTCAACATATATTAAATCAGTATTTTTTATGGACAACTCTTTTTGTGTATAGACAGATATTTAGCCAGATTAATTTGACCTGAAAAAAGGTGAACTAAACAAGACGGGTGTCGAAATGATTGTGCTGCACCAAGAAGGGGAGGGACTTGCCTTGAAAATGGGCATCTGAAAACTCGTATATCGATAACTGACGCCATTAACAATCACTTAAATATCTCAGCCACATAACAGACCAAAATAAATTACAAAGTTTGACTTAGTCTGGCACAAGGTCAAGTGTAAAAAATGAGCTGTTAAAACTGTATCGGATAAATCTTTCAATTAAGGAGGTTCAGACCGTGATGATTTTATGTAACAAGGTGTGTGTTTGTGCAAAATATATGTATGTTACCTTGTAAATATGTGTATGTTCGTATGTTTATATGTGTAATGATAATATTAGCCATAACCTTATAACACACAAAAAAGAGAATGTCTAATATCGAGAATATTTAACATCGAAAAACATAAGAAAAATTAATTCCTTTCAATAATATGTGAAAATATCCACTCTTTGCCTGATGAAACACGTGTAGCAAAATTATGGGAAATAAAGCATAATATATTTTAAAAAAATCCACATTACAACCAAAATGTTTGCGGTTTCTCTATTCTTTTTAATACACACACACACACACACACACACACACACACACACACACATATATATATATATATATATAGGTATGTATGCATATATATATAGATAATGGAAGCATTAATAATAAAAAATCCAACACTCAATAATATCAACTATGAACGCATCTAGAATGTGGTTGGGAAATAAATCATTCTACATAATATATATAAAATACTACACATTTATTTAAAATTTAAAAAGTTATGAACTTGGTAATCCGTATAGGTAATCCCAAGGAGGATGAAATCCTGAGAGCTCAATGTAAATCCAGAGCTAATATTTAAAAGAAAAACAGACCACTTTAAAATTACCATTACAATAATTTAAAAGGACTCTGGTGAAATAAATTATTGTAATGGTACCTAAAGTGGTCTGTTTTTTTTTAAATTTATATATATATATATATATATATATATATAAAAATTTCTCCGATTTAATCAGTAGAGAAGATTTTTATTCATATATATATATATATATATATATATATATATATATATATAAATCTCCCATTTTTAGACGTTTTTTTGAATGTAGTAATAATGTATTCACCACTTCCTTATACAAAAAAAGAAACAAAATAAAAAAACAAAACTAGTAATTCATGTCATCTTATAAGTGAATGTTCACTCAAATATAAAATAGGTGTCATAAAAAATTTCCTCACAAGAGCCCACGGGAATTCATCCACTAGTTTGTTATTCTTTAAAGAAATCAACAACGTAAAACAGACGCTGGTTATTAACGGTTTTCCGAACTGCCCCATAGATAACTAAATTAGATGTGCTTCTTATAATATGTAAAATAGGTTAGTTTAAAAAAGGACAAGCGAAAGGTTGCTAATATAATCAGTACGGACATAAATTATCAGACATGACACAGCCATGTCCGATAATTCCGAACTTCAAATCTTTCTTTCTGCGCATAATTTGTGTCATATAATTATTAATTAATATTTAAGAAATATTTATCGTACTGATTATATAGGTACTCTTTCGCTTGTCCTTTTTTTTTTTTTTAAACAAACCTATTTTAAAAATAAACAATACACGTGGACCCTTTTTCGAATTATATTTCGTTTGGCCTCGTTTTATTAACTAATCGATCTATTATATATATATATATATATATATATATATATATATATATATATATATATATATATAGAGAGAGAGAGAGAGAGAGAGAGAGATTCTTCGCTCTCAGTAACTTCTTACGGACATATGACGGTGAAAACAGTGTTTTCGAACGATAAGTAACGTCGTACCTGCTTATTACCTAAATAAGAGAGCGCTTGAGAATACCAGTTACTGTAAGCTTGAATGTGCGGGTGGTGTAATGGATAATGGCGCAGAATCTTTGATCGGAGAGACGAGTTCGAATTCTCGTTGGATTCGATATATTCACTCACACGTAAATATCTTTTGTCAAGCATTATTATCTCCCCACTTAAAAAAATCTGGCTTTAAATAATCTGCTGTAAACATCGATAAGCCTTAGAAAAGGAATCAATCAACACGAAAACCCTTACATCTTAAAGAATATATATATATATATATAATTATATATATATATATATATATATATATATAAGAACTAAGACGCGAGTGAATATATATATATATATATATATATATATATATATATATATATATATATACTGTTATAATGGAACACACCTATTCTATAGATAATAGACTCTCCCACCTATAATAAGTAGGAGTAGTAAGAGTAACGAGTCAGTCAGTCGGTCGGTGAGTCAGTCGATGTCGGACGACAGTTAGTCGAATACGAAAGTATCAGCGACCACAACTAGATTACTCTGCGTTATACCTATTATATCAAGTTCCTAACGTTTTGTACGTCGAACCTATTTTAGGACCGACTAAGTACATATAGAAGCCTTCACTGTGAAATCACTCCACAGCATTATTTGGCCACGAGGAAGAAAAAAAAAATTCGCTCGCCACAACATTATTTGGTGACGAGGGATTCGGATTCATACGGTGAAAGAAAAAAAATTCGCTCGCCATAACAAATATTTGGCGATGAAGATTCGAATTCATACTGTGGAAGAAAAAAAAATTGCTCGCAACAACATTATTTGGTGACGAAATTCGTACTCATACGGAGGAAAAAGAAAAAACCTGCTCGTCACAATAATTTCGGCGACAAAATCTCGGATTCACACTTAAAAAAAATAAACTTGGCAAAGTTTTTCGAAAGACAAAACTTCAACTTAAGGACGAAAAAAATATGTTTTTACTCTCAACTGAGAAAAGAAATATTTTTTCCCGATAATACAGTTTGCTCAAATAGGTCACGAATTGCAAATTCGTAGGCCACCCTCCACCCCCTCTACAATATTTAAGCATTGTGTAAACTTTTTGCGAAGTTGGAGGAATGCAAAAATATAGTCCGTGAATTTTTTAAGTTCCAGTCGGAACAACAGATGACAATATTACAGCAACAAAGAACATTCCAGATGCAACTACAGGAGGAAACTTTTACAAGACAAATGCAATTTCAACAAAAAATGGAACAGATGCATAGGGAATTTCAAAACAAAATTCTGGAAATAACTGAGAAGTGGAAAGAGAAAAATCTACAAAATGATTCTTTCCCAGAGAATACAATATGGAATTCAATTGAAATATTCACGTACAGTCCAGATGAAGGGATAACTTTTGAAGAGTATTATAAAAAATATACGGACGTGTATAACGAGGTCTGCTACTCGTGGTCTGAAGGAAAGAAGGTTAGGCTTCTTTTAAGCAAATTAGGAACTGCTGAGCATAACAAATTGGTAAACTACATTTTACCGAAAAAAAAACTAGCGAGTTGACATTTACCGAGGCGGTAAATATATTAAGTGAATTATTCAGTAAAAATAAATCTTTGTTTCACAAGAGGTGGAAATGTTTGAATCTG